TTTGTTACTTTTCCTTGTCCAGAGCATAACTTGAAAACTACTGTTTGGAATTCAGTACAACTTCATACAGTTGTCAAGGACATTAAAAGGAAGTGCAGTGCACAAGAGCCATAACTCCATTTTGACAAAATACAGAGTTACTGCCCTTTGATACTTTTCCGAGTCCGGAGCATAACTTAAAACGTACTGGTTGGAATTCAAAACAACTTCATACAATGGTCAAGCACAATAAGAGGAAGTGCAGTGCACAAGAACTATAACTCTATCTTCAGTATTTATAGAGTTATTGCCCTTTGTTCTTTTTCTTTGCTTTTCTGGACTTATTACAGAGTAATTCAATTAAACTTCATCAATGGCCAACCACATTGAAAGGAAATGCAACATACATGAACCACAATTATCTTTAATTGCCCACAACAATAACTCTATGTTTCAATTCTTTTACAAGGTATTCTGTTACTAGTAACATCCTCATTTCCGAAGCAGACTTGTGGGGGTATTAATCACATTTAGTGATATCTAGTTCTTGTATAAAAACTACGCATGCAAGTATATCACAAATGATTCCTGCATTAACAAATATATAATTATTACATATCCATGCTGTGGCGCAATGTAAAAGCACTCTTATTTGGGACAACAACAAAACAATATCATACTTTAACTAATTTTATTTTATAGTCATACATAGTGGCATATGTAATTTATCTCACTGAGTAATGTCTTAGTTAATCTTTGGCATTTTATGGGCACGACTCCATTAATAAAAGCCAAAAGGTTGGGATACCGGGCATACAAAACCCTGTTAGGGCATCCATACAAACAAATGACACAAAATCAAAACAAGCAAATGGAACAAACTGAATAGCTTTTTGGAACATTATGTTCTAGAAAATCATTGATCAAAGCTGTTCAAGCAATACTAGTCTTTCAATTCTTCATTCACAAAATAGTCAAACTGTTGCGCGAAATTGGTTCTGGGAAGCAGAAACCAGTATCGCCAGTATCACAAAATGTCTATTCGTCGGCCGCCACTAGACTTCGGATGGTGAACGGGAGATTTCCCGTTTTTCAGTCGAAAGCTCCGCCAATAACATATAATATTGGCTTCGCCAATATCATATTATTATTGACTCCGGCGAATTGAATAGTAAAAAAAAAAATTAGTCGGACCAGCCATTCTATGATTTATGATACAACACTGCCATGTAGGTAATTCAACTTTAGCAAATAAAGCAGCATTCCAACAAATATGAATATACTAGCGCTCATAAATCAAATATGACACTATCTGAAACACAATAATTTGGGTAGTATCCATCAAGATCTTGAGTTCAGTGTCATTTCTCCTGACATGACTTTAGCAAAAACATTCAAACTGCTCCAAATATGTGCTAGCTAAATGTATATACATTTGACAGTGCATTTTCTCGAGATATTAATTTAGAAATAACGTTCAAACTGCTTCAAATATGTGCTAGATATATGTATACAATAAGTGCATTCAATCAACGTGAACTATAAATTATGCATCAACACATCAACTTTTCAAATATACATTTCCTGAACCACCCTATACCATAGGTGTTCGGCGCGCTGATCGGCCACCCACCCCACAACCCTCCAACGCCCCAAAACCATGTAAACTGCAGTATTTTCATTTGAAACATGTTTTAATATTTGGTATATGCTTTTAATTCAATTACCTTCATTTCCCACAAAAAATAAAAAAATGATTTATATATACATATATAGTAAAGGTATGCAACTCGCTGCACATTTTTCAGCACTCATCTTAATTTGAACTCCATAACTCCAACCATTTTTTCACCAATTTTCAATATTATGGTTCTGAAAGGTTGGAGGGCCGCAAAGTGGGCGAGGGGGCCCCCGGGGGCAGCCATCAACCAACGCGCCGAAAGCCTATGCCCAATACAATAGTGACCATCAAGATCGTGAGACCTGCATGACCCTGAGGGCAGATATTTCCAATTGCGCTCCATGGGTTCGAATCCTTCCAATTCAACCAACATGTTTAATAACGTTACATTAATCAGGTTTCCATTTGTTTTTAAATCGCATGATGTAAACACTTACGCTCTATGCGGTATAGAAAACTAGCAACAATTTAATGCATCATATCTTCGACAAGGCAGAACACTGGTATTACATTTTAAGTATGCTTAGCAGCTATTGTCATTAGAATAGCATGCAATATTAACGTGTTAGAAATTGTCCTAATTTTTTACCCCACAATTGTACATAGGTTGCCACAACTGTACATTATAAGGTTCGAGCTATATTTTTCATTTTGAAGCATTTCGCACCACCCATCCTGGTCAGTCCTGGACTGTCTTTCTTACAACTGTGTGAAGCGCTTATTTAAAATAGGTACTTATACTTATATACTTAACTGAGCTGTGAAAAGGTTTGAAACAACTTATAGATTTCATGGAAATCTTTACTAATAAAATATCTTTATTGGCCAAAAACATACTAAATTCCCAAACTCCAAGAATAATGGTTTAAGCTTTTTGTTGGACATAAATTCTAATGCCAGTGTTATAAGCAATTACACAAAATATTCTTTCACTGGTCAGTTTGCAGTATCCAGCAATACTGTCAGTTAAAAGTTGTTTGATTCTGTATTGGTTATTAGTCAATTCAACCAATTAATAGACTTAAATAAACATTGATTATAATAATAAACATCATTCACCAATTTATCTCATACAACAATTCATCAAATGTCAGGAGTCATCACAAGACGCTGCTGATCACCATCGCATTTATTTCCACATTTCCCATACAGACCAGTTGTGTATTGTCTTTAATCACATTCTTCTCTTCCGGCAAAAAGAAAATTATAGATCTATTTTGAAGATTCAAAAGCAAATAAAATATATTTTAAAACTGATTATAAAAATAACTGATTTATTATGAACCTGTTAGACTAGTAGACACATTTTTTCGTAATTCAGGACAATTAGCACAAGTTAACAAAAATTTCTTGCTTCCACCATTCTTAACGCCATTGAAAATAGCAAAGTGCACCTACTGTCAGACCTAGCTATCGTATATCAAGAACCCTCCATCATTTTTTTAAAGGTTTTCATTACAATCATCATTGTTACCATCATAACTAATACACCGCGAATGATTTAACATTATAGCGAGATACAGACATAGCTAAATGAATAGCCGTGGGTGAGAGTAGATCCATGGATCGTCATAGTAAAATTGTCAATTTACGGCAGCAGTCAGCATAAAGCTAGACAAAGTACAACCTTATGTTCATTTCACAAAACAATGCATATAAATAATTTAAAATTAAACTGTTCTCGACAACAATCTTTAGAAGATCTAAATCTGAATTGACTAAGAAAACTTCTCTGTCCATATAGATCTAATATCCTGCTTGATTCAGTGTTCCATGTTCCCACCAAAGACATCAAGAACAAATCAACTTCAATCGTGGAAAATATCAACAAAATTGCTGCTTATAGGGCACACAGAAAATCACCGACGTCTTATCGATTCATATCTAGAAGATACTACTATCGATAGCTGTTTTGATCAGCGTTTTTTTTCCATTTTTTTTTCCAACAATTCATTTCTTCCATTGTTACAACATTCGACGCCAGCGTTAAAAGGATATGACGTAGATACAGTACCTACATAACCAGGGCAGGGTATAAGTTGTTACCCAAATAACAGAGACTATTCTTTAGAAATAGTCATCATTAGTTATTTTCCACTATTAGCACGAGCTTTCCTTTCTGTATAAACTCTTTATTGCAAAAATGATTTTGAGCAACCTAATCAGAATGAAACAAGAAAAATAAGTGATGAATTTATTAACATCGTTGATAAAAATATTGTGAACAGTAAACATCATACAAAACCCTTCACCCATTACCGCATGAGCATTTTGTAAAAAATGGCTGTTTTCATAGAAAAGACTCCCCTTTACAATTTCAGATTGCTATAAAACTATAAAATCTTCTTCCATACTTATCAAACTTGGCACAAATGTTGACTGGACCATTGTCTTTGTAACAAAGTGCTAAGTATTAAAATTCCTGTTACTATGGCAACGAGGGGACATCTTAAAATGGATTGATCTAGAGTCAAAGGCTTTCAGAGTTGGTTACACGGTACCTTATGATTGACATTGGGACATTTTTAGCGTCTCACACGCTTTATTAGCGATGAGGGGGGCTGCCGCGCCTTGAACCCCCCCCCCACAACAGTAGGGGTTACATCCCCCTTCTGGCAACTACCTTATGTATCTTTTGGAGAGGGACGACGCCGAAGAAGTGTTTAATTAATTAAACAACACTTCTCAAACAAAAACAAGTGTTGGGGGCCGCCTAAATAAGGCATTGTTCACCATATGAGACAAAAAAAAATTTGGCGGCGGGGGGGGGGGGTGAAAAAGTCAGATGTTTCTACAGTAATGATGATTATAATTCTTAAGTAAATAGTCAATCTATTTGATGTTTCTGCTGTTAATATTACTGATTCAAAGAATTAGGACAATGTATATTAACAGCTCAAAATATTTAAATGCGTAAATTAGTATGCATCTTCTGATGCGTAGAAATAACATTGGTCGGATTATAATGTCAATGTAGACAGTGATTCATTTTGAGTTTGTATTTTAAACTTATCTAATAAATAAAATTGATCAGAATGACATGCATTTTTTACAGTTAGCTAAATATTAAAATATGTGACTATTGGCTTTATTTATATTAATTCCATTTCGTATTAAAATTTCTTCTCTGGCCGACTCAAATGTCAAATTACATGTCAAATTATATATCTGTGTAACTACGATAATCTTTATAATCACTCAATTTACTCAATTATGTCTCAAGTACGTTCAACATCTTTATCTTAATCAATATAAACCTTTGTCAGGTAAGATATATACAATGCTATCAAGACCAAAATCTTAAGATTTATTTATCATCTTATAATAGCAAAGTCCGCAAAGAAATATAGCAATACGCCCTCCCATATAGTGACAGCAGGATGGATCGAAAGGAAATATTGATAACCATCGTATATCTTTTTGTGCTAACGTTAAAAGTTCAGTCTGCAATTACAAGGTAGGAATATTATCCATTATCGTGTTTATACCGTTGTTTCATTATTAGTAACAACATTATTTGATTAATGCTTAGGAGTATGAATTGTGCAACAATTGAAATAGATCATTTAAACCTAATTCACACAATGTGAAAGGGGAACATAAGAAACTAATTAACTTGAAACCGTTCGAGCAAATATAGAATCTATTCAAAACGAATTGTACATAAAAAATCCAAGAGGACAAATCCAAAATTTAGTTTTAATACACAAAAAAGATTTTAACGACAATATATAATCCTTTTTTACACATTCTGTCGTTGAAACGGCGATTGTTAACATTTGTTGAAACGGCGATTGTTAAAATTTACATTATTCGTAAAGAGATAACTGTGTCTACCTGTACATTTTCGCTGCCAAAAGAAATATTCAATTAGATTTACAATAGTTAATGAAATAACCTTCTGTCTATTATCAGCGGGTCAGAGTCGTTATGTTATTTACAGATATTTACAAAAATCAAAGAGTTATAAAACCACCAGTCATTTTGAAATCATTTTGTGATTGTTCTCCCATAATTCGCAAAATACTCAAAAGAAACAACTGTATTATTTTCAATTGTGATCTTTTAATGAGCGTTATGTTTCATCATCATGTGATGCAGACTTCGAAAATATCTTCTATTTTCTTTTAAAACGTTGGTTTCTTATCACATAAAAGTAAAATACCAGCATTTTTATTATTTTTCTTCAGTCGTGTGCGATTTCTCGATATTAGAAGTAATTGTAGCAACTTATATAATGATCGTTTATAATCATTTTGCTTCATGTCAAATCCTTCAAATGCGAAAATGCAAAAATCGCCTAAACAGAGCACTATTCTGTTCGGCGTTATGCTCATATTTATACACTAATCAATGACGTACTTTTTTTAGACAGCTTATCTCAATCTCTTAGCATCTAAACTTGTAATACGGTTTCAGGGTATATCTCGTTAAGATTGCTCTACTGAATCAGAAAATATATAATTATTTAAAGAAGTTTCTTATATAGATCTAAAAAGTGAAAAAACACTTAAGACTGGGATAACTACTGTTAATTTCATAAACAGCTATATTTTTAGAAGTCATATTTTGTATCTCCAAACTTTAACATAAGATGTTGAAGGAATAAAACAATTTGATGAATTTAAAATAAGCTCGCAAAGCCCTGTATGGTATGTTACGACATTTCATTAACAATAATGAAATTTAGCAATAACATATATCGTACCAAAGTTCACAGAGACATATAAACGTTTCATCATTTGATAAATACCAACAATTCAAATCAAAACAGGATAGCTCGTTGATGTTTAATCTGACTTAATATTCATCTCGTCTTAAGTGTTTTGCACTTGTCAACATTAGTATCACAATCCTTCTAGATTATTAAGATATACAAACGGCTGATGGAGGACACGTAAAAGAGGACTTTTTGCATTTTCGTTTTCGAAAGATCTTCAACTTCCAGAATTTTAAAATGTATTTTCATTTTATCACTTCCTATGAAATTAGATTATAAACAGTTAAACAGAAAAATATGAAAAGAAAAAGCACAGTTTGGGACATATATAAACACATCATTTCTTAACATGTTTACATCATCATTTTATCAAAAGAATCATTCAAAGTTCGAATATATTTTATTATGTTGTTTTCAATTTGCTATGAGTCTTAATGTAACCTTTGCATAGCCTTTAAGATATGGAAAATTAAAAAATGAATCCTTTTATTATATATAATCAAATGTGTTTTTTTCTTTGTTAATTTCAGACGGGATATCCTTGACAATTTAACAAGCGCTTCAACATACGATCAAGGCTACCCGGCAGGATATGATGAAAGTACGTTGTATGTTTGTGATGATATTTTGATTTACAAACATTTATGAATCTTTTAAATATTCATTATAGATCTTTTATAATAATTGATACCTATATAATTCATAAAGGTTGTTACTTAATCTGAAAGTATTGTCCTGGACTAACTATTAGTTCGTGTTTGTATAATATACGTAGCGGTTAAGGTTAATAAACTACAAACTAAGCTAGTGAAGGCCACTACAAATTGATTTTTTGTTAAAGAATTCTTTTTTAAAATTTTCGGAGAATGAAAAAATAAAAGAAAATTTAAACATTTGCCTTTTTTGAAAATTCATCTGTTATGTTCAACAATATAAAACATACAATATCTTCATTGAGAATCAAGAGTGATGCAATTTGATTAAAATCAGATCCTAAATAACGCTGTGCATTAGGATCTGACGATCAGCAATAGGTTGTCACTTTCTCGTATCCTTTCTTATAGCCAAACATCGGCGAGCTTTCATAATTTTTAAGGTGAAGAGGGTTCTATTTTTAAACGCTGAAAAACCAATATTGAGTAGGTATTTTTCACGAATAAACATGCCGTTGTGCATATAGCAGGAAGGTTAAATGGCAAAACAGTCTTGATTATTAACAAGTAGTCTATTATTTCCAGTTTATTTGTTTCACATTACTTCAAACATATTTTCAAAAATATCAACAATTTGTTTTACTTCCAAGAACACCGATGTTTTGATATTTCGTCTGTTGTCTACTTGTAAAGGATATTTTGATTGCTTGGCTAAAAATAGCTTTCCCAGAAAAACCGAATCACAATGAAGGCGATACAAATACGATGGAAATCAGATCTACATGATAGACTTCTCACCTCCCCTCGGAGCGTACACGTCGCTGAGAAGGCACAGGGCATCGGCAGAAGATTTGAAGACTGGGGACGACGTAAAAAGATCGAAACTTGTGCTGCGGACCAGCTGCCGGTGTCCTGACTAATGCCGAGGGGAGTGGCCCTACAAAGTAGGCGCTTGGGTCGACGAGGACGGTGTGCTAGGGTGCGTGAGCCCCTAGCACGGTTAGACGGCTTGAAAGGCAGGCCTATTGCTGGCGCAAACGGTCCTTTTCAGGGCTAACCTTTCCTATTGTCACAGGTTACTGTAAATTAAGGTTCTCATTGACCGCCGTACAGTGACCTACTTTTGGCTCAAAATTCATATCTTTGGCTAGTAATCCGTGGAAATTGCATGGAGGTAAATTATCACCACTTTATGCTTGAAAATTAATTCAATCAAAATGATAGAAATAAGTAGATCTGAATTTTAGTCAGATCGAGAGTGATGTTATGTACTACAAATGGGGGTTTCCAGTTGAATAATTAAATCATCAATAGATATGCATTATTTTCTCAAGTTCATATTTAAACTTGCATGCCTACAAACGAAAAAAAACTTGCAAAGATGTATTTTGACCTCTTTTTGGTAATTTACGTTGGATTGTACGTGTCGTTTGCAATGTGTAAAATACTTTCATTGTTCATGTTACATCTTTTAAATGCATTTTGAAGATTTTCAGAGTGAAATACCATGAATCTTAGGGCATGCTGCTGTCACTATCTGGAATGTTCTTAAATGTTTATTCACATCGCAGTAGATGGGAAAAAACATACTGGGGGGGGGGGCGTTATTATCAACCCTTACTGAGTAAAATAAAAACGGTGCATGCCTTTTACATGACATATATAGCAAAAACACATGCAGTTTGTATGCACTGCCACTTTTTCGTATTTTCTATTTTTTCTTGGTTTGTATTATGGTGGATATTTTTAAGTATCTACGTCGATCTTTTCTATCAAATTGGAAGAAGGAAAAACTGATCGTTTTCGAGAGGGGGTATTTGATAATTCAATAGCTGACATACGATAACAGAAAATACAAAGCTTGTGCATAGATCTGGTGAATAATTTATTCATAACGTCATTTCTGACCACCTTTTAAGTGTTGTTGACACGATTAACCCTATGTTGGATGGATATAGTTGGTGTATTGATAAAGTATATTTGCCTGAAGCAATATGCTCTTCGCAGTCTAAACAGACGGCTATAGGTTAAATATGATGAAAGGTAGGTGATGCCTATTTCAAAGGGATAAACGAGTAAAATATCTTAAAGACAATCAAAGTTTGGAATTCTGTTATCAAATTATTCGAGTGGAAGATGATTTTTAGTTGCAAAGTGATTTTTTATTTATTTTTTCTCGGATATAAGAGCGGTCGGAAAGAAAAAAAAATAATGTTTATGTTGTTTTAAATTGTACAAAATAGGTACACTGAATCTGACGAACTAGAAATTAGATTGATGTGGCCTAAAAAAGAATTTTACGACTTAACCAGAGATGTTTTACTAAATGATCAGATAGAGAATGGTGTACATTCTAAAGTGCACAATCAGCGTTGCAATGTGCAAATATTAATCCACTTTTTATCATCTGCAATCTATGCAAATATCTTATCATTATGATGAATTGTACATATCCGAAATGGTTGCTCACCAGATAAACAAAACAAACAGAAAACCTAGGTATTGAGATCATTTCAGTCCTGGGCAAAATGAAGTATATATGAGTATATACGTATGTTTTATATTTCAAGTATTAAATAAAAAGAATAATAATATTATGCTTATTGTAGGCCTAAGTGATAGCAATGATCGCAGGATTGTATATAGTTATGATCTTTTTAACAGCTATTATAATGGCTCTTCAATTTTGCCGTGTTGGGCTTTTTTAGGATTTTTGCCTTTTCTATTTTTTAATTTATTTACTAGTAAAATGTTTAATTCCTATTACTCCCTTTTTCTAGAAGCGCTGATGATTTTCATTTATACCATTTATATAAATTGGTATTTTCAGATATACAATGTGCTGTTATTGTACAACTAGAGATTTCAGACGTGACATCAATCAGTGAACAAAATATGGTAACAATTTTTTCAAAACTATGTCTTTTCTCTCTTGGAGAAAATCTTTTACGAAAGTATCTTATGATAAATGACAATGAAATGGAAAAATGTAACTATACAATCTCATTCATTTCTGACAGTTTTTAGAATTTAAAACATAAAATTGATTAAACTGAAAAATTTAAGGCACATATACTTGCCAATTATAATATTGAAAAATGTTTCGCCAAGCGAACTGTCAAGTATATTATATCTATGTACTTTACTTAGAAGGTTTTATGTAATTTATATTTATCATGACTATATACAAAAATATATGGAAAAAGTGATCCCTCGGAAGCATTCAAAACAGTAAAATTACATGAAACTCGGATTGATTGAGTCTTTACATGAGGGATTATGAAAAAGTGTAACATCCCTCACGCCTCTAGCAACGGCTTTAGCGGTTGTCAATTTTCAACACTTAAAAGTGCCGGAATCAATGATCCAGAAGGACCAGAAAAATATAACATAACATCACTGAAGTGAAGTACGGAGCAACTTGACACAACACTTGATACATGTACCTGCTTTTGTGATGTATAAATATATGGTAAAAACTAAAGAAAAAAAAGAAATAAAATAAAAATATTTTTTTAACTCACCACCACCATTAAATAATGTGGTCTTTAGTCGCCTTATTCACATCTGTTCTGATTCTCTTGTTCAATTGTTTTTATTTATTTTTATTCTTTCACTTTTCATTTAGAGTGAAAATAATCGTATTTTGCACCAGAAACCCCCTTTTTATGTCTCTTTTTTCATGAATGATACAAAATGTTTTCAATCTTAATTCGTATTTGGTTAATAATTAGTATATGATATATGTAATAAACTATATAAATTTGTCTACACATACTTTGTAAGAAGTGTTAATGTTTAGACTTTGACTATGAAAAGTGTATGATTCACCTGTTTAGACCTAGTATTGAAAGTAAAGGAAAAGAACAGAACTTAGACACACAATAAAAGGACTTGTTCACATTAACATGCAAAACTTAAATTATTCTTTCTAGCGATAATGCATGGAATATTGTTGCCTATCACTATATTAAATGGGCTGAGGTCATTTTAAACTTGTGTGTCTAATTTCCTCTATACATGGTCCTAAGCACATACGAAAAAGATTTTTCATAAGAATTTAATAAACTATTACAAAAAAAAAAAGAAAAATGAAAAAATAAAAACCAGGAAAATCTCATACGGGGCAATACACAAGACAAAGGAAATGCAACACTCACCTTTTCGGTGTAGTTTAAAAGTCTGAAAGACACATGCTTTACATGCGGAAAGAAGAATTTTTCAATAAGGAGGATATATTAAAGGCACACACTATTAGAGAACACATCTGCTTTGTTTTCATATTTGTCTAGTCATGGTTTCCACTTATTAATGCTTACTGATAAACATCAAATGCCCCTAGCCCCATTTTTAGTAGTTATTCAAAAAAACTTTTTAAGTGAAATCAAATTTAAAATATGTTATTGTAGATTCTACTTTGTGCTAATGGTTCATCTTTATATCATGCTAAATGTTCATAAGGAACTTTAAATTGAATGATAAAGGTTATAAACCGCACCGTCCATCTTTCAAATGAACTTGAACAATGAGTACGTGGCACGAAGAATTTTGTTATATCTCTTTACTGATAACTAATACAAGTCTTTGCATTTGGCGGCGCATTTGTTTTGAACATAAATAGAACAAAATGAATTTGATATAATCGGATCGAGACCAAAGAACAATTTTTCATTAACACTGAGGATAGATTTTGGATAATAGTCATCAGATAAACTAATGATTGCTGACCGCGTTACAGAGGCAAACCTTAGTTTCCTTGAGCAAGAAACCTTACATTTATTGCTTAGTACTGGTTGGTCCCTGGAACGGATTCGAGAGTGTTTCAATAAGCTTATAGCTTCCAACACAGTTGAGCTAAAATGAATTTGTATAAACTAAATGATTTTCGATCATACGTAGTTAAATGTTTTCAATTTTAAATCTCACCATCTATCCGATTTTAATTTCAAGAAAGATTGAACAAGGTATTTTAAGAAACGTCAGGCTTACTAAAATAGTAAGTTCTAGATATGTTTCATACAAGTGGTGCAAAAAGAAGTACTAATATGTCCTTTGGTGCAAATATATATATAAGTTTTGTATAATTATACGAATTAGCAGATGGGTATGGCCAATAATTAATCTGTAGAGCATGCCACGGGCCCAAATATATTTTTGTAACCTTTAAATGTAAAGAAATCAAGCTAATGTTAGTGTTGATTTAAAAACTGTATCACAAGTTTTTATTACTATCATGCTTCAGAAAAGTTATTTTGTATTTCGTTCAATATCTAAGACTGTGAATACGAAGAATATGTAATTAAACGAATTGTTTTTTTTATCAAAACACAATTGCTAAATACAAAGAACCCTTATAATATGGGTTCAGATTAAGAAAAAAAGGTAATAACAGTAGTACATACCTTCTCGTAATGTTATTATCAAAATATATGTGTTCGTTGATATACTTCAAGGAGTACAGTTTGATGATGTTTCTGAGAATGCAGTGGAGAGATTCAAGGCTTGCATTTTATGATGTCGCAAACTTTACTCGTATCGACCTTACAGGAGATATGGTCGACTTGATCTGGAAACCTGACCTGTATATAAGCAATGAGAGAAGAGTTGATGCTCATTCATTAGTGAAACACGAAGAACTTGCATACATTGATCCTAATGGGACAGTCACTTTCAGTATGAGGTATGTAATGAGTATACGTGTGTCATTGAATTATCGCTGTCACAGCTTTATGCATGTAATTAAAAAGTTAATGTTATATCAATTTCCTGAATAATTAATTTTTGTGTCCTTATTTTTTCGTTATAGAATTTCGATGACTGGTTACTGTCACATGGATCTAAACCTATATCCATTTGATGTTCAAACATGTAATGTAAAACTTCAAAGTTGTAAGTATTTTTAACTGATTAAAAAAAAACATTGATAATAATGAGAAAATAGGAAAGTAATCATGATGATATAAAACTTCATTTCAAAATTGTCTACCCTTGATAATATATTTCAAGTATGAGAGATATTTTACAAATGATGCAAAGAAATAAAGCAAATTAAAAAGTTATGGAAAGGGAAAGGTCATTCACTTCAGTGTTGCTATTGTTTTTCATGTCCTTCAGGATTATTGATTCCGACACTTTAATGTGTTGAAAATTGTGTACCTCTCAAGCCGGTGCTAGAGAGCGTGTGTGGTGTTATATTTTTCATCAGCTCTCATGTACAGACTCAAACAAACCGAGACCGCAATATTCATGTGATTTTTTTGTGGTTAATTCTTCTGGTGGTTCACCCTTTTCCCAGAATGTTGACTCTTATCTGTCATTCAGAAATTCATTTCTATCTTGAAAGTAAACAACTACTGCTAGTTAAAATTAATGAATTTGATACTTTTTAGAATATCTATCTAAAATAAAAATTAACGAAGGAAAATGACTGCGGCCATTTGAAAATCGAGTACAGCTTACCAAAACACTAGGATATCAACTTACATACTCCTCAGGAAGAGACGGGACGTCCAAATAGATAGGACAATGAGTGTCTTGCTCATCACATAAAGTAATTATTCTAAAATTAGTGACACACCTTGAAATGTCAAACCTGTATAAACGAAGCATTCGATCACGGACGACAAGCATTTTTGATGCAATGCATTTCTAAATTTATATCTCGAAGAAATGACATTTGGTTCGCAAAAATATACTTGTTCAAAGACGTGTGTGTTTCTTTTTTGTGCAAATGTGTGTGTGTGTGTTTTATATTTTTTTATTTGTTTTGTTTTAAATGAAATCTTTAATGGAAGTCATTGCAGTACAACTTGATGAGATAAAGGCCGATTTGGACAAATCTTTGGACAAAGTATCATATTCAGAGTAAATAACAAGACAACCAGGAATGATAGATATATATATGTTTTAATTTCAACTATATACAGACGCATTCACGTCGGACAAACTCCTGTTTCAATGGTCGAAGAACGGTTTACTCACGCCCCACATCGATTTAGCAAATTACGAAGTAGAAGTCGGGGAAAATTCGGAAGGCTTGGAAACAAATACTGACAGATCTCTTGCAGGTACCGTATTTGAATGTAATATGAAACATTGTGAAAATGTTTATATAAAAATAACACACAGGGTGGAAACAATGCATGTAAAATGACAGTAAATATCTATTTCTATTAGAATTAATCTAATAATTTTATAATGTCGATTGTCTGAAAAGAGCATTTTATTTGTTAGGGTAGAAAAAAGTTGCCACACACAAACACACGCACGCGCGCACGCACACGCGCGCGCGCACGCACGCACACACACACACACGTGAAACAATTACTGAAACACCAAACAATATGAAATGATTTTAATGTTCAGTTTGAAAATTGATTCTGTTAAACACTTTAAGGCGTACTATAAACATATATTTCAGGGGGCGAATTTTCCTTCTTAATCACGGGTGTAAAGTTTAAAAGAAGGAGCAGTGCTTATGGATCTATGTACTTTGCGCCATTTCCGATATTCTTTATAATCGCTATGTGCTCATACTGGTTTAAGGATCAAATGAGCACTCGCGTCTCGTTATGTACCGCAGGATTGTCGTCAACTTTGCTACAGTGGATTGCTATATACTCGAGACTGCCTCCTGTCTGGTACTTCACATTTTTGGATGGATGGATTTTATTTCATATTTCAATGATTGGGGCGATTTTTATTTTTCAAGGGATATGGTATAAATACGTACATGAGGTATGTTTACTTTTTCTTGATTCCCCTCATACGAGTCTTGTGTATGAGTATGTATTTCTATAAAAGTAAAATCAAATGCAAGTCTTTAACGTCATCATGCTAGTATATTAGTCAATTTTACTTGTAAAACCAACACAACTAATTAACCAATAAAAAATCCGTTTCATAATACATGAACTTAAAACGATAGAATTTTGAATTAAACAAATTGTTAAACTAGGCGCACAAATTGTTGGTATAAATAGTAATGAAATGAAAACACATTAACAATATGAAAAACATGCGCAACTCATTCTTCTTCGAGAACAAAGGAAACAAAGCAAACTATTCTCTCAGCTATTTAAATATGTTATAGTATTCTAGTTATACCTCATCCCTTGCCATCCACCCACTGACACTTGTCAGTCAACCACTGACACTTGATATATTTTTGTCACCAATTAACCAATCTTATGAAATACTACACATTACTAATGTTTTTATATTTGTTTCACTATTTAATGGGCAAATTGGTTCCCCAGTTAAATCATCATACAAACTTTCTCCATGTAAAATGTTATCCATTAATTGGCTTAAAATAAAAGCCCGTTAGCAACATATATATTGCGTTGTTTTTTATGCCTTACAAGCTGCACGAACTATAATGATTTCTTTAATGAGAAACAGGAAGGCCATAAAAGAGATTGTTCAATTTGAGAAAACAAGGTGTTTTTTCTGTAAGTGATCGATTAATGTTTTGGATGAAATATATCACATACCTTAGCAAGATCAGGGCGTGAAGTGAGCAAAGATTAGTAACCTTTTACGCAACGTAAAACCTCGCTTGTTTTCTAAACGTTGGTAAAACAGGCGATGTCACAAAGTATTACATGAAAATGATATTCAGTGAATTTTGTGACGGTTTCAATTATTCGCGGGGGCGTCCGTGGCCGAGTGGGTAAGGTCGTTGACTTCAAACCACTTGCCCCTCACCTCTGTTGGTTCGAATCCCGACAGGGACTTTGGATTCTTTCATGTGAGGAAGCTATCCAGCTACCTTTCGGAACGTCGGTGGTTCTACTCAGGTACCCGTTCGTGCCTGAAATAATGCACGGAAGGGCACCTGAGGTCTTCCTCCACCAGTAAAGCTGGAACGTCGCGATATGACCTATACTGTGTAAATGTGACGTAAAACCCAAAACAAACAAACAAACACACAATTATTCGTCTGCGACAATCTTATAACCGTACATTTAGCAATACCGCGCCGTTATCTAACGTTTGGAATAAAAAATAGAATTTTGCTTCATATTAATTCAATAAACACGAAAGGTAGTATATTTTGCATGTACTATTTTTCATTTCAGGCAGCATTGAAAAATGAAGTTGAAAGAATTGGTTATGTCATGTTTCTATCAAGCTATGCTATAGTGTGCATAACTCTTCTGGTGGAATGGTCAGGCTCAAACAAAACGTGGATTTGGTTTGATCTGATTCCTGGGATAATATTACTCCGTATTATCGTTGGCAGTATTTGTTTCGTAATAACAATGATAAGTGGGTACGCTGTCTATGATCTTAATAAATTTTAGGTGGACTACTGACAGCGATTGAATGTCAACTCAAGCTTTCCTTATAATAGTTTCAATTTTATAAAACCCTTTCTAACAACTTTGATACTCTTTTTCGACTTTTAAGGATCTAATTCAGTGTAAATGCTGCTTTTGACAAATGAAAATGTTATATGAAAATATTTAATATGCACTTTCACTCTGGTGAATTCAAAGAAGCTTGTTGTCGTGATGCGAAGGATAAACTTGATAATAATAAAAATAATAATAATAATAATATCATATTTAACCTTTTAGGATTGGGACTGGCGAGATGATCAATTGTTTTAAGAGTCACTTGTACGAATTCTTACACTGGTTTGTATTATTTTACAACAGTTAACCGGAATGTGAAAACTCAATTTTATCTGAAATGATATCGTTAGGATCATATATACAAGTCGCATTTACTTGTATGTAAATGAAAACTCGTGAATTGTTTTGATAAATATGTGTAGACATGAATATTTATATTGTGTAATATCATGGAATGTTTTCTCGTTCATTTAATGTTTATAGGATTTTGTATGTATTTCTAGATAAAATATGCTAAACAAGCTCAACAAGGAAAGGCGGCGTCCAAAAAGTTTTATACACAGAATATTATGTGTATTAAAGATATTTGAATTGTTGTCATGTATCTTTAGAAATCCTCAAACATTTTCATCGACAACCTATGTATTTCTGAAGGTGCTTTTGTTGCAGTGCAAATTTGGATTGTAAACATTATTGTTATGAAAGCCACTTTGTTAACTTAAATAATAATATAAATAGTTGAACGATTGTGATATTATGATATATCTTAACGCCATTTTGCTACATACTTATTTACATTTATAATATCAAAAATGCCCAATTACTATCATCGCGTCTTTTATTATTTTAGGCTCATTTTCTACAAATATTGTAGAGGGGAAGATACGACAAATGAAACACGGTAAGTATTATTATTATAGATCAAAGCTTAATGTCTGTCATGAAAAATTAAATTGATGTTACAAGTCTGTAGACGTTCTTGAGCTTAAATGATTATTTAACAATCATTTGAAAATTTTAATTGATTGCCTGTTCATTTAGATTCATTTATGTATTTGTAGTGGTGAGCCAGAAGAAGTCGAATCTTCCCAACAGCTATCTGCTGCAGACAGTGAAGAAAATGCGATTAATTCTTAATTAGTTTATTTCTTTATTCCAGTCTCATCTTTACATGTATACATAAAATTATATATGAAACATAAAACACAAACATAAAATACATGGAAAGCCATTCAGCCAACAGAATTACAAGAAACTATATTTTTCTTTTTTTCCTCTAAGGGAGACAACTCCACAGACCATATCCCAGCAGTTTACTGTTTTATGCACTGAGGAATTTTCCCCCTAGCTACACAGATTTCATATGATCATTATCATTTTCACCAAAGGTTATTTTATACTTTAAAAAAACATAGCATCAATAATATTTACACTTTCCATTGTTTTTCATACAGAAGTTTACATTGTGGTATAAAATGGGACACAATGAATTAAACAGTACTAAAATGTTCAAACACAAATGGAAAGAAGAAAAATTGACCGTTATATATCATTTAGCCCTGGAAATTAATGACATTTAAAAACCATATCCTGTCAAATAAAATTTCCTAAAACTAGTTCTCATAATAGTTTTATATACCGTCCAATTAATTTATCGAAGACTATATAAACTATAAAAATAATATTCACTATTTGAAACTTCAATAACATTGTTTGGTATGTGTACTAGAGACCACAGTCCAGTAAAAACATTTATCTTTTATTCTTTTATATACAATGTACATATCTTAAAGTAAGATAAAAGGTATATAAAAAGGCAAACCATAAAAAGGAGCAATTTATGTATTCTTATTTGTAAAGGAACGTTTTCCTTCTCTTAAGTATGTCAAAGCAGGTTTTGGCAATATACCGTACGCCACTCGCATTTGAGAATATAAACATAAACTTCTCAATAGTTGTCATTGTGTGAAATTGTGGGTTTTTGACACTCACTTTTTCAAATAAATCTACACGAATATCTTTATACATAAAACATTCCATTACAGTGCGAACTTCACTTTCTATCTTATCATTACAAAAAGGACAAAGCCTTTCATTAACTGGTAGGCGTTCATATCTGCTTGTCTCTATTCTTAGAGGTGCGGTTCCACATCTGAACTTAGCGAAAGCGGACATGTGGCAGCGCGGTAGTATGATTTTGCAATATTCCTCAGTTCCAAAAGTTGTCATCATTTTTGGATCTTCATATTACTATCAACAACAATTCTATTCACACGAAAATCTATGATAAACGAGATGACTTTGACTTTTGTAAAGTTAATTATCCACATTTAGATGGAGACGTACCCCATGCAACATCTTACGGGGTTTATGTTTCTCAGTTAATAAGATTCGCTAGAGCTTGTAGCAACGTAAAGGATTTCAACGAGCGGAATATTTTTATTACCAGCAAGCTTCTAAAACAGGGCTACCGCTATCCTAAATTACGGAAATATTTTACTAAATTTTACAATCGTAACTTTGATTTAATTTCTAAATTCAATAGTGATTTAAAAACTCTTCTGCGACAAGGGATTAGCCAGCCTGGTTTTTATGGCGATGTGATTTACAAACTTCGTAAGATTTTGGGTCATGCTGTTTTTACTAAAATCATTAAAAGTTTTATTAAAAGAGGTTATAACCCTACTATTTTAAGACATACTGCATGTTTAGTGTTCAACCCTTTTACAGTTGGACACTACGCTTTCCTCTTTTTGATTACATCTGACGAACCAAGTTGGAGACTCTATGATGGACAGTTATTAAAGCCCTTTGGGACTGAATTGTCTTAATGTTCGTCTTCTGCCTTGCTTCGTCGGGCCCTTGTAAGTGATTTTCTTATTACTCTGTCTTCCTTTAGGACATTGAGTACTTTTGTTATGGTCATTGGGTTTACTTTTATATGTTTCTACATGATCATTTTAGTGTTTTACTTATTTAACCTTTTGTTAGAATTTCACTTGGCGGGGATTCATTTTATTTACACTGTCTCGTTTATAGGAACATGGTGGGGCTAAGAGCGAGGTTTGGTGCACCATTAACCGGTTTAAACTCCCCAGCAGTCATTATAATGCTGCTGCCCGTTCCAAGGCGGCGCCCCTCTGTGTTCCTCAGATGTATGTCTATGTTGTTTCATACTGTTTTGTCGACACTTTTGCTTGTGTCCCTTGTTGTTTTCTCGTCTACGGTAAGTATCTTCCCCATTACCCCTAGTTTTTATTTCTTTGATTAACCCCCGGTCTCCTGTCCCCTTTGACTTTGTGGGCCTATTATTCAATCATTTATTTGTTTTCTTTGAATTCCTAATCAGTTACAAATTATTTATCATTTAGTGATTAACCTGTCCGTGCTCTGTCTTTGCCCTGTCCTGTTTTTGTTTGGGGTCCGCCTGGGCTCCTTGCCGCTGGTTCTTGTTGCTGGGTCATGTGGGAGTTGCGTTCATTGAACGCCGCCTTTCCTTGTTGATCTTGTTTATCATATTTTAAACTGCCTATATGTGCTTCCGACCCCGCTTCTAATTCTTTCAGATGTAACATTTAATTTAGCATTTCACTTAGCAATAAATCTTTGCATAGTTCTAGATTTAACTTTTTCTAACATAGCTTTTTTTGATACCACATTACCAATGTTACTAAAATTCTTTACATTCAAGATTATGAAAAATTTGTTTCGTTCTAAAACACCAGTTTTTACATATTGTACAACCAACTGAATTAGCATACATACAAACTTTGTAGTTTGTTCTGGACCTAGGTATCATACACAGTCTATGCCAAAAATTGGAAACATTAATAATCTGTCCACTAAAGGTTGGTTGCCAGCCCATATCGCCTATCAGCGCTGCCGACGGAGAGAAACGGGATGTCCCTAGGAAAAGACACATAGCACGGTGTTGAATTGAGTCAATACAGGAAAACGATTTGTTTCCACATTTAAGGCATTCCCCCAAGAGACTTGTATTTAGCTGTTAAGAGACCTAAAGCTCGACTGGCTGACGCTGGCTGACTGGGCAACAAACTTTGCTGTGACAGAGTAATCTAAATGCTCTTGGAGTGTTAAACCTAAATATACACATAAAAAACACATTCAAGATTATCTGGTCCACATTTAAAGATAAAATTGATCCTATTTACATTGCTCGGTCTAAAGTTCATTACATTGCTCTTTGTCGGATTAATTTTCATATGAAAGGCGTAATTCCCATTCATATAGAACATTTAACATATTTTGCGAATCTTCCTCAGTTTCAGCAGTGAAAACAATGTCATCAGCATAAAGAAGTATACATAACTTTTCTTCATTTCCGATGTCATCACCTAAGCCTAATGTCTCACAGCAAGGTAGTTGTGACAAGTCACATACCTGACGAAGGCCGTTGTATACACTAAACCAGTTTGTATGCAAATTATTTACCCATACACAAGCTGTTACATTGAAATAAATAGATTTTACAGCAAAAAAAAAATTACCAATAACACCAACATTTGTTTACTTCCCCCATTCCACAGAATGTCCCTATTGACGGAGTCGTATGCCTTGCTAAAATCTATGTATGCTACAAAAGTTGAACGCTTGGATTTCAAACGTGTTTGATTGGTCAAGGTTGACAATTTGTCAATTGTACTATGTTGTTTTCGAAACCCATTTTGTTCATCTTCAAGCTTGGCATCAATTGCAACTACTTGGCCCTTTCCGTCAGTCTTCGGATAAAGACCTCGAACACAATAGTATGAATACACAGAACGAATGCAGTATTTCGGTCTAACCTACGCTAAGAAACTAAACATGAAAACAAATAGTAATTTAATGTTGCGAGTTGTTGTCAAATTAATTTCAAATATATCAAATAAATGTCCACCTAAAATAAGTGAATGCATACATACAAATGCAAACAATACGAGGGGTTATCCAAAAATTCGTTGACTTTTACATATCTCTTGAACGTATCTCTATCAACGTATATTGTAGTGAAATTTTATCAGCATACCTTGTAGAATATTTTAACACATTTTGAAAGGAACAGTTAACTGCGTCAATAAAAATGATTTTATATTGCTTTTAAATAAGCATATACACTGCATTCGGCGCACGGTAGAAAAGCGCAGTTAGTTATTGTAATTTTTATGCTAAAAACTAATAATTAACGCAGAAAACCGCAAACCATCGCCTGTTTCTTCTATGACGAAAATTAAGTAATTCTTTTAAATTATGGACGTCTTTCCATTAATTTTTGTTGATATCGCTAGAATCGACAAACATATTGTTTACAACGTGAAAATGACGGACACGCAAAAATTAGAAAACCGCAGGATCATATTTTTGTGTAATTTGGCAATGACACCTAAAAAATATTTGAAACAAATCAGCAGGTGAATAGAGAAAATAAAATTTCACGATTATTATACTTATTAAAAGTGTTTAAGCGGCATAAGAAATTTAGTGATGGACATTACTTTGAGAAGCAGTAACGGTCATTGACTGCGTTACGTTGAAGCACAAGTTATAAAGTACGTTATTATGACGTTGACGTCAATAACATTTTGTAGTGCGCTGCTGTCGCCGATATGTGTTGATGTAAACATAAATATTGTTGTAATATAAGAAGATACTAACATTATTATCTATTTGTTTATTTGATATCTATTCCTCTAAGCAGTGTAAGAATTTTTAATCAATATCTCAAATATATTTTACGTAACAAAGGAAGTTCACGAATTTTTGGATAACCCCTCGTACCTTATTTATATATTTATAATTTTGGTTGTAGAAACCGAAAGTACAAAATGCAAACCTGTTGACAATTAGGCGGATTTGTTTAAAATTGTACATCACTGGACATGTTTTCATTAAAAAGTGCCGTTAGAAATATTTTCCATCATAAATGTACCGAAACATATCTTTATTTCCTTTGCATGTCAAATATATACATTCGTTTTACATTGCAAACTCTGTTTTGTTTACATCTGAAACCACGTGGTATAACTACTTTCAATCCGTATTGTTTCCGAAGTTATTATAGATAATAGCCGAGGCAGAACCGAATGGCTTGGCATTCGACTCTGCCCATGTTGACAAAGAATACAGTATACAGAATACAATACATTTTTACATTGTATTAGCTAATGAAATTCCTCGATATGACATGGGGTCTTTCCTATCCTGGGTATTGGACTTTGGGATCGGGTTGATGATACACTTTCCCCGATCAGAAGGAAC